ACTCACTTGCGTATGTACAGCAATCTCATAGATGTAAGTACCATACTTTTCCAAAGTGAAATTTAACGATTTTCAGGAGTTCTCGACACAGAATGCAGACGGTGTATTATTTTGTTTTGTCTTTAGGATAGATTGTCCATAAAAGAAGAAGACGTGGTGATACTATTCAATGAAAGCATGGAAAAGTACTTCAAAGAAATAGTGCGGGAACTTTCAGATGTCGATGAAAGGCAAGCAGCGGAATGTTCTGAAGTGAGTTGTGATTCTACTGTTATCTTTAGAATAGATAGTCTTTCACTGGAAGACAGATTTCCAGTGCCCTTGTTGCGCTTTTTGGCATTTCTCGAATAACGGTCCCAGATTCTTCATAGTAGTCCGCGCTGGTGGTGGTTGCTGCTGATTTAAGATAGGCGTGCTGATAATCTCCTAGGTATCCTCTCCTTCGACGTCGTCGAGACGCTTGGTCACACAAATGCTGAAAGGGAGGAAATCCATCTGTGCGGGGCATGTACCGTCAACTGTTCTGCAAACGAAACTGTTGTCATCGGCAAAGGCTAAGACTACAGGCAAGTTATAATCTCTTCATGAAATTCTCTGAATCAGATGAAATAGAGAGAGGCATAAGCCCAAAGCAGTGTTAAACTTGCCTCTCTGTACGGGCTGAATAGACGGCGTTCAGATCACTATTCTGTACATTAGCCCAATTGCGGTGTCACAATGAAGTTATGTTGCCCTGTCCGTGGTACCACTTATTGCAGCAAACCTCCAAAAGTGCACGTAATGTTAACATAACTGAGCTGTTCATCAATGTCTGCTGCAGTACATATTACAATGTATGCAAGTACACGGCCGAATCATGGTGGATAGATCAATTCATTGGCACTATTGCACTATTACAACCCCAGTGGGGGTGAGATGGGTCAAAAAATAATTTTCGCTGAAACTTCGGCTATGGGGGTTATCGAGGGTCCTGATCACGAATATGATATCATTTTTGGCGCTGGCGCCAAATTGGCGCCATTGGCGCCACGACTGATTATCACCAAATTCGCTGTAAACTTCTGAATAGGGGTTATTTGGGGCCCTGATCACGAATATGACACTGGTTTTTGACATTCGTGCTGTTTAACGCATATTTTCTGCTTTTCTAAGCTTTCTCACCTATAGCGCCTAAGACTAAGCTTAGGGGAGGGGAGTGAAACTCCGGAGTGGGTAAACCACGCACCGTGTGGCAAAAGTTGGAGTGTGTTAGACCACAGGGAGTAAATTTGGGAGGAAAGTTTAGGATAGAGGAGCAAGGTTAAGTATGTTGGCGTTGTTGTTATGGAATTTGCTGGGTCATTTTTTTGAGAATTTTTCCGTTTAATAAAACATATCACCCCGCTCAATGAACATTTGGCATTCGCAGGGAGGAGGTGAAGCGTGTCAAGTTGTCTCTCATATAATATAGAAACGTAAATAATAGTGGTTGTGTAAGGTTGCAAAATTTTCGAGTTTCTGCGAACCGCAAGTTCGACGCTGCTGCACCGCGTGGTCCCGCTCCACCCAACGCAAACTTAAAGCAACAATCCAGGAACGAATTCGCGGGTAAGGACCACCTATAATGACGTTGCAGGTGAGAAGTTGGTCAATGGAGAAGAAAAGTAGAAAAAAACGTCGGGCAGGGGCTTAGACAGGGACTCCCCCTGCCGTTTAGGGAGACGTGTGTTGGACGAGTTGTACCGAAGCTGCCGATACATGCGCTCCAGTTTCAACCGTGGCAATATACTGCACTTGCAAATACATAATATTGCTCACAATCGAAAATTGTAAATCGCTTTCAATGCTTACTCTAGAACGACTCACATACAGCGCGGCGGTCCCGCAACGACCGCTAGTCAAGCACGGACTCTGCACAGCGTATGTTGAGCGATCCGCCTCGGTATGAAGTGATCCGCCCCCTCCAAGAGGACTTCGACCCCTTCCAGCGCATTTTAGAGGTAGGTTTTGAAATTAAAGCTCCTATAAACTTTAGTTGGGCTGGGGCATGTTTTGACCGCCTATGACCAATATGAAACCCGCCTGACATGTTGCTTTAAAGGAAGCAGTCACGCTGGCTTCCACGCTGGATTTGCTACCCTCGCGTTATCAATCGATAAGGTGTGAGGCAGTAATTGTTGGACGAGTGTAAGCCCATGGAAGATATGATACGATGAGATAAGAAGGTGCGGCTGCTTGATAAGAGGTGCACTCCAGAATGAAAACGGGACGATAACGATAACGGTATCATATCTAGCACGCTCTTATCGCACCCCTTTCCACATCGATAAGTCTTGGGTTTTGCTGAACTTGAGTGAATTTCGGCTCCTTATCACTTCATTGATAAGGGGCCACTGCCACTGAAACTTTACGTGTTCTAACATTGGGCAGGACCTCTATCCACTCCATACATAGCTTTCCTTATCGCTGCCAGTAAATTGTCGTGACTGCTTCCTTTAACCGCCTTCCTTAGGTGATTTTTGAAGCAAAAATTATAAAAATGTGGGAACATTACGAACTTTAGGGGAGCGGACAGACAAACAAAATCTGCTTTATATATTAGTATGATTCTATAGATTACATTACAACGCGACCGTAAACGGTGTGGTTGCCAAAATGGTTGAATATTCTTTACTTTACCGAAGGGTCCCCAACTCACAAGTTCTCAGTGTTTCATTCCTGTTCCTTTAGAGTCTTTAAGCATGTATATGAAAACAGTAGTTGAACAGGTACACGACTTATACGTAGAGCAAGAAATTTTTTCATTAGAACAACCCGTCAGAAATAATTTTGAGGTCCATTTCAAGGAAAAATTAAAATTGTTCTTTCATTGCCATAACACGTCCTTTCGATCAAACTTTTACAGTTGTACCTTCTGATAAGTTTGACACATCGAATATCATTCGAAACATTTTGTTGCATCCGAGTTTTGCGTATTTAAAGCTCAAAATCCACGGATTTGATGTGAGGCGGCGGCGCCTGCAAAATCGCTCTGGTCCCACGCGGTGCAAAAACCCAAAACGCGCGTGTCGTCAACGTGTTAAAGGACGAATTCACGCTGAAAGGCAACCCATTTCAAATTAACCTAGGGATGGTGAGTGGTACACGAAAGAAGGAAAAACCATGAGAAACGGCCCAGAACCCGAGAAATGGGACCCCTTCCTTGCCCGTTGATTTGAGCATTGATGCGACTCTCTTCAACACTACGCTCTCTCACCTATCTAATCACTCGCCACGTATAGACCTGCGGCGAGTGATCAGATGATCGGTGGGCGTGCACTGGCCAGCCGCGCCAAGATTGAGCCTTAATAGGTCGCCGAGGTCAACTCCTCCTGTGCAAATTGTGCTTCAGTTCGCACCCTTAGGAGCTCCGCGGGTCCCTCAACCAGGTGAATTCTTCCTAATTCGATTTTCCCTCTGATCGTGAATTCGTCCTTTAAACAAGACACCACCGATGGGGATCGTGATTCTCGTTTGTGTACTGATTTTTACTTTTACTGACTGTCTATGTGCTCTAGTGTTTTTTTTTTCGTTTCTTTTTAACTGATCTTCATTTCTGACGATCAAGAGTTGAGTCACCATATTCTCCTTCCCCCGCCCACCTGAACCTCAGAATTTCTAGGAGAAGTGCCTGGTCTTGTTCTTTTATACAAATATTGTTTCCCTACAGGCACCGAAGATCAGTCACATGTCGATGGCGAAAAGACATCGTCATCCGACGACATTCAAATCGTTGAAGATGTCCAACCCAAACCGCGTATCCGTAGTCTAGCCTTTTTGAAACGTAAATGTGAGTTTTCTTTCGATATTCCTCTTCAAAATCTAGAGTTATCTATAGTACCTTTTAGACCAAAGGAAGGACACTTGGTCAACCGACACAGTCCTCTGCATGTTTTGTGGCTTAGCACGTCTTGGGAAAAGATTAAAGGAAACTCCAACAGATCCGATACAGAAGAAGATTTTTTTCTCGTGCCTGGTCATGGATAAAATTCCAGCCGCAGAAGCCGTTCGTCTTTTCGAAGAGAAATATTCCGGAGATGGACGTGTTTGTGCATATCACTATGCACAAGCAGTGAGTTTTTTACTGAAATTGGTGTTTAAGCATACGACGAAATGTCTCCATTTTTACAGGCCTTTTTCGTTGCGGCTCAAACCAGGCGACGACCTTGTGACAAGTTCTCTGTGGAAGGCTTAGAAAACTTGCCATATAGTACACTGAAAAGCATTGCAGACCGTATTCGATCATATGGAGTTGTTAAAAAGGCAAGCACATAGGCTATTTTTCGTTGTTTTGTTATTTTTGATGTTCCAAAATTTTTGGTCGTGAGAAAATAGGTGTTGCTTCGCTTTCAGAATGAAGATTTGTCTGCGGACGATATAATAAAATTCTACAAATATTGCCGATCACTTTTCTACCCCAGTACCAACTCTGATAGTGAGGTGAGATCACATGTTTTCAGTTGTTCTGCAGTGTTCCATAGAAATCCTATGCGCTGGATTTTTCTTCTGAGTTCTACAGCTTTTTCTCCAACGTAGACTTTGTCGGGGTATTTAAAGGTATTGTTCCCTTGTAGTTCCGCTGAGCCCATATCAGCTTCAAACTAATAAAGAATTGGAAGGAGTCATAAGAGGCGAAAACTGTAAGAAAGGAAATTTTTGTCTATACAGAAGCCGACTCTGGACTTCTTATGTGATGAGTATGAATCACAGTGATGACAAAATTGCTTGAGCAACATGTGCAAATGTCGACCGTCTGGCTATGTTTGGGCTCAGGTTGAATGTGAAGAAGACAGAGTACTTGACCACCGATTTGAGTGAGTCAGGCACAATTAAGATCAGTGGCACTGAGCTCACACGTACAACATCATTCAAGTATCTTGGGTCGGCAATCGCGTCCGACGGCAGCCTGATCTCTGAAGTAAACTCCCGGGTGAGTGCAGCTTGGTCCAAGTGGCGCTCGATGACCGGCGTTCTCTGCGATAAGAAAATACCAGAGCGACTGAAATCTAAGATCTACAGAACCGTCGTCCGACCAGTCGCCATTTACGGAGCAGAGTGCTGGCCCGTGACTAAAGAGGTTGAGGCTCGTCTCAGTGTAATGGAGACAAAAATGCTGCGCTGGACTGCCGGGGTCACGCGTTTAGACCACATTCGCAACGATACCATCAGAAAGCGGTTCGGTGTGGCTCCCATCGCTGATAAGATGCGCGAAGCTCGCCTGAGGTGGTACGGTCACGTCCTTCGCGCTAATGATGACAGTGTCCGTAAGATCGGTCTAGACTTTAACGTGCCAGGAAAGCGGCCAAGAGGACGCCCGAAGCAACGATGGCTTGATACGTTGCATGAGGACTTGAAATTAGTTGGCCTCCACCCCGATCAAGCATTAATCGGGAAAAGTGGCGTCAAATACCAGAAAAGCGGACCCCGCCACAGGGCGGGACAAACGCTAAAGAATAAGAAGAAAAAGTCACTGGCCAGGGAAAACCAACAGTGGTTGTTCACCAGCTTTTCGAATTTTTGTCCAAATATCAGTTTTGACTAGAGGTTAATCTTCGGGAATAGTTAGATCCGCTGAGCAATCATATCAAATCTGTTTAGTCTATCATCGAAGATGACTGAGCTTCGACGTAAAAACACCCCGACACTTTTGATAACATGTCGGAAACATGACGAAAATTCACTGGTGTGCAAAACCTAACACGTTGACGACATCGCGTGTTTTGGGTTTTCGCACCGCGTAGGACCAGAGCGATTTTGCGAGCGCCATCGCCGATGCGCCGATACGCAATACTCAGATACGATGAATGGGGACAGTGATTAATGGTGCTGCTATCACTCCATGGCCCGTAAACCCAATTATAACTCGTTCGTTCCAAACTTGTTTGTGATGTTCAAACCTTGGACCTCCACCTTGGCTGGTCCACTGATTGGCCTCTGCAATTCTTACAATTTCATCCAAATTAGTGTTCAAAAGCCACTAGGAGGTTGAACTGCTAGGAGAGAATTGGCAGGGCCAAACATTTTTTTTATATAACATATTTCGATTTGTTCTCACTGCAAAGTTTTTTTTTCAGGTTCCAGAAGCGTCACCTCCGGAATCACCGGCATCTGTCAGTGAAGATGAGGAGGAAGTTGAGGAAGTAGAGGAAGTTGAAGAAGTAACTGCACCAAATAATGGTCAGCTTGTTTACCTTGTTGTGTAGCTATGTAATGAATTTTACGTTTCATACAATTTCATATTAAGTTTGGCATTTTCTAGCGTTAGTCCGCGCAGTCGCAGGGTCCGCTGTCTTTGTCAGTCGTCGGCCACCTTCGCTCTGTCTAGGAGCATCTGCAGTGGCCGTGATTTCACTTAGGTCCTTCTTGATCACATCCTTCCACCTCTTCTTTGGGGCTCCTCGCGGTCGCTTGCCTTGCACTTCGAAGTCCATCGCATTCCTTATCGGGTGGCCTTGCGGTCTTCTCAGCACATGTCCATACCACCGCAGTCGTTGCTCCCTCACCTTCAGCTGGACAGGGGCAGTCTGCATGACCGCTCTGACATCCTCGTTCCTGACCCTGTCCAGTCGCGTCCAGCCGCAGGCCCACCTCAGCATCCTCATCTCAGCGGAGTGAAGCTGCCTTTCGTGATTCTTGTTCAGGGGCCAGCACTCGCTGCCGTAGAGCATCGCAGGCCTTACCACTGTTCGGTACACCTTCCCTTTTGAGCGCTTGGAGCACCTTCGATCGCAGAGGATTCCAGTGGACTCCCTCCATTTCATCCATGCCGCGTTGATCCTCCCCTTCACTGCCTGATCCACACTGCCGTCGGCTGCCAGATCGCTCCCAAGGTATCGGAAGTCCTCCACTCTTTCGATGGTTTCACCATGGCCGTCCACGATCGGCTCTGCACCCTCTTCAGAGCTCAGGAACTTGGTCTTCTTGACATTCAGCCGTAGCCCGCCTTCTGCCAGGACCTTCTGCCATTGCTGCACCTTGGCCTGTAGTTCCTCTCTACTATCCGCTATCAGGGCGATGTCGTCAGCGTAGAGGATGGTCTTTAGTGGTCCTTCCATGAGCCCCTTCACCAGGACATCTAGTGTTAGGAGGAAGAGGAACGGGCTCAGAGCTGACCCTTGATGCACCCCAACCGTGATGTTTACCTCCTTTGTTAGGCCATGTGGGGTGCGTATGGCTGCCTTAGCCCCGTCGTACATGTCCTTCACCAGCGAGACCAGGTGTTCTGGCACGTTCCGTTCCCTAAGCGCTCTCCATAGTACCGCTCGTGGTAGCCGGTCGAACGCCTTCTCCAGGTCGAGGAAGGCTAGGTAGCAGGGTCGGCGCTTTTCTCAATAGTTGACAAGTTTGACATTTTCTGTGGAGTTTATTTTCTTGAAAAAAGAAAATGGAACGGTGAAATATACTTTTTTCCGCTAAGAGAAACGAACGGCTCGCAGGTGGCCGGCTCTTCGTCTTAGCGCCTTAGATTGGTCGGTTTTAAGACGAACCATAGGTCAACTGCGAGCCGGTTTTTTAAGACTTACTGAGAGGGTAGAAACACTGAACGGTCTATCGGCTGGCGCTCGCAACTTGTAGTACAGGTCAAATCGCACTCAAAATGTACAACTCTGAACATGGTAGAATTTGTGGACCGATCGACACCATTTGCGCTCTCCCTTATTCTTATCAAGTTATCTATTCAAGAATAGTTGTGGCTAATTGATTGTTTGAATATTCAAAGTGCTCGAAACTCATCCAGCATTAACAAGCCAACCTATCAAGTTTATTTGAGTACTTAATCGATTACTTAAAGGCAGCGATTACGATAGATCTCAAAGGGGTTTAGAGGGGACGTGGGGGTCTCAATAGTACGCCAATGGCGAAAAAAGCAAAGAAATCCGTCAAAAATAAGCAAAATAGTACCCCTTTGATTGCCCTTTCATTTTCGACCATGGATGAGCGACGGTAAAGAACGACGTTGTTCGGACGTGTTAACCCCGATAGCCGCCATCATGCCAACAAGCATAGTGTTTTGATTGATAAGGCAATACGTGGGCAAGTTGGAAGATACAGCCGCTAGAAGGGAAATGATCATCCAAAATGAAAAGCCAACAGCAAACAGTCCATCCAGATCATCAACAAAACTAGTGGGCGTTACGTCACTGGGGGCGGGGCGTCACGCGGGTCCTGCTCAGCAACCACAGCACCTTTCGCCGTGGGAGGGCCACACATCGCTTCCTTGGCAGCCAAGTAATTGCTCCGTGTGGCGCAGGTTCTCCCCCGATGCGAAAATTCCTTATCGTAATCGCTTCCTTCAATATATGTACAAGAATGATGCTGATGGAACTTCGTACACATATTCCTTATGATCTATAACACTCAGGGTCATATTTTAGGCACGGCGGATGACGAACCATTATTTTTGGATGAACTCCAGCTCCAAAATGGCGTGTGAGGAAGAAAGAATACCATTAAAAATAGTGAAAGATGATGATGCTGTTGAAGTCGCTGTCGATAGTAGCAGCAAAGGTAGCATCAAGGGAACCAGGAAGAGGCGTATAGCAGCAGGTAGGAGAGTGTTATCAATGTTAGGTTAACGAGTATTAACGGGTTGCTTTTCTTATGTGTTGTAGGATATACGAAATTTAATATGCTGTAAATACATTTTCGTGGAAATTCTCCTGACAAGTTGAATACTTGAAAGAAATGAGTAGATGGGGTAGATGGCCACATGACTCTGTGGGCTGAATAACCGATGACGATAAGTTTCTACACTCCTTCGCTCCTTCAACATTCTTCTACCAGTACTACCTCCCAATAAAAGTCTCAAATACGACTCTCATCTCTCATTGCTACCCCACTGAAGGGGAATCTCAAAGGACGGTTGTTCTTGGTCGCCTATGTTGACACCCTACTCTCATTACCTTCGCCTTCAGACCGTTTCTATTAGTTTGTAGGATATTAACTAGCGCTTACATTCGACGTAAATGCTCGAAGCAACAAATCGAATCATAGAAGTAATTAATGATGTTTTGTTTGTCATCGTGCACAACTTCGATTCCATTTCGCAATTCTTAAATTCCAAATCAGCGGATCGGGAACAAAAAAGATATTGAGCTCTTTTTTCGTAGTTCCCATTATTTTCATTTTGTACGACATAAATGAATATGGTTTCAAATTGAGCGAAAAGGGTATGGTCGAGGTGGTTCGATGAGAACGATGGATTCTGAAAAATTCCAATTTTTGACAGTTTTTGTCTTTGTGTAAATCACAAAAACAACAATTGTCGATTTGCTGATTTCTGCCGCCTGAATATCCAACTTCGAAGCACTATATCTAAGTTAATTTATTATACTCGAATTCACGCTCCCGTATCAGGCAAACTAATCTGTTCCATTCCCGGGCAGGGTCAACCCTACGTTGGTACAAGTACCAACGGGGGGTCGTACTTGGTTTAGCTTGGAGGGGGGGTCGTATCCGCTTCAGTTTGTGGTGAAACTCGAGTTTCCACGAGTAGTAGGCTAGGTGAGTTGGGAGCGCACGGGAGAAAAATTCGCCGTTTCAGCGCGCGTATATACCCCCTCCCCCCCCCCCGCTCGACGGCATTTTTGGAGGAAAAGTGGGCGGAGTTTGGAGGGTTGGGTGGTACCAT